TGAATGAAGTTTTGCTTGTATCCTTTGGATATCTTATACAGACCTCCTACTTACCTGTAACTAACACTTCCAAGATTCTCAAATGAAAAGTAAGATGTCAGAGATCACATAAACATCAAAATTAGAAGTGAATATGGTGCCAAACTATTATATTATCTATTAAAACTGAATAAAACTACATTATTTTAGGATCCACTGAAAACCAAACACAATTATTTCCTGAATTCTCCAAAGGCAACGGCAAATTGAGCTTGTGTTCAAAATGAAGAATTAAAATAGCTGCATCAAATAATTAGAGGTATTCTTAAGAGCTGCTTATTCTGCTCACAGCTTCCAGTGGTGCCTACAAATGCCCAAAGGGAGAGTTTGCACAGACAACTTCACCAGCAGTTAAATGCAGAGTATGTGCTTGTGTTGCTCAGCTGTCTGCAGAGAGGGTGTAATAGTTACCTTTAGTTATTAAAACTGGCTATTAATTTACTTTTTTTACACATTCATTCACATTCATTTTAAATATGACATAAGTACTTATCTCTCTTAAGCTTATTTGAAGGTACTCACCCTTTAGTTATAGGTGGTGTTAGGTCAACATCACTGAATTCTTTCTGCAAAGTCTAGTTACCTAGATTACCTAGAGTGTATTTACATCTAGGCTTGGGAATTTTGATTAATAACAAATGTTGATTTGGGCCTTCTAATTTAGAAGTCCTATACATTATTGGAAAGTTAATAGTAGTATAATCATCATGCCAACAACCTTAGGCCCCTCTGCAGCTAGTTGTACTCTGCCCATATCTTTCACCCACTGACTTGTCAGGATACTATATATACTTCTGGACAAAATCTGCAGTGGGATTTATATGTCCTACAAGGGCTCTCATGTTCTTGGATCTTTGCTGTAGTATATACTGTAGACTTCCTCATGTTCTCAGTCCTCAGACAGGACTGAAGCCAGCTTCATCACTGTACTGAAGCTTACATGTACTGGCATTTTCTCTGAAGTCAACAGGACTGCTCATATGCTTTAAAATATGCATGTGCCTAAGAGCTTTGCCAACACAGAGCCAGCACATGTAACACAAAG